TCTCTCTAGCCTTAATCCAATTATTGTTTATTCTTCCATAAATGATCATTTCACTTGGATACATTGATTCTTCTATTTTCATTTTATCAAAGATTTCATCAAATTTCTTTGCACAAACATCATAAGTTCTTATTTTAATTCCTTTCTTCATGTTTTGAACAACAAGTTCAATCATTTCTTCTACAATATCTGAAAAATATGTCATTGATTCAACTTTTTGAATAATTTTAGCCATTCGCTCCTTTTCTTCTTCTGTCATTTTTTGATGTTGTAGATTAAATTGATTGTCTGCATTTACCATTTTTACTGGGTGATTGAAATTGGTTATTTTATAATTTCTAATATTCTCAACTTTCATTAATACTGATTCATCAACAGGAAGTAAATTACAATTACATGTTGGTTGATTAAATATGTTACAAAACTTGTTTATATCTCTTTCTGATGTAAACCATGGATTAACTTTCAATGAGTTAATTGCAATTCCACATTTCTTGTTAATCATTTCAATGTTTTGAATGTCATTCATGTCTTTAACATGAAGTGCTACTTTCATTAAATAAACCATATCAAGTTGTTTCATTTCTCCTATTTTATAATTTGATGATCTACTATCTTCAATTAAATAGTTCAATTATTTATTTTCTAGTTCATCTTATTCATTATTTTTGAAACTTTTCCTCAATTTTATTGATTATCATGTTATTTTATTTGTTATACCTATTTCTTCGTTGTACTCGAAGGTAGTGTGTTAGAGACAACATTAAATAGAACAATAATATATCCAAAATATGAATCATCAATTGTTATCTGGTCATAACATGACTTTAGTGAGATAACATGCCACTCAATACTGGTTATTATTTATTATTATTTATTATGGGTGGTTGGTATAGAATATTAATTATTTATTTATTATTATGATGGTATTATTATTTATCAACATACAAGTATATTTATTCATATTGATTTGTGTTGAATACATGGTGTGTTATTAAGAAAATGGATTCTTTAATTGTGTTGAAGAAAAGGAGATAAATCATAATCATAGTTATTGATACACTCAACATAAATAACATTATAAACAATAAAGAGTATTAATACTCATTTAATTCAATTAAGATAACAACTTAAATGATGAACTATCTAATTTGAGAATGATTGAAAAACAACATTTAAATAGAAATAAAATGTGTTAAAGAAACTGATTCACTCACCTCTCAACATGATGAAAACCTAATCATAAGTAATTCATATTTAATTTCTTATTAATAATTCTTTACAACTACCTATTTATCTTTTCTTTTTCTGGTAGGACATGGTTGTGTCTTAATTCATAAAATAATCTTTTCTAGTTTATTGATTTAGTAATACTATTTTATTTCTTATTTTTCTCTTTTCCTTAATCCTCTTTTTTGTTTATATGTTACTTAATAATCCTATTAGTTATTCTATCTTTTGAAAAAGGCAAACTGGTCTATCACGAATATTCTTTAAAGTATCTCTGTCACTGTAAAATTTTTATTATATTATTTATCTAGTAGTTATTATTATAAGAGTTGTGATTGGATTATTAGCATGAACGATGACGCACTTCCTTCATTCTCTAAGTATCACAGATATCGTTTGTGTTGACTTTATGTCCGTGGTATAGGTATCTTGTCATACCTCATTGTGCTCTTTGAACAATCACCCAAAAGAAATAAATTCACACCAAATTATTAAAATAGATCAAATGCACATTCACC